GTGGCAGCTGGGAATGGGAATGTTCATCGCCGCAAACCTGCTCGGTAGCTCCGTCCAGATCTCGACCCTCCCTCTCCCCGTGCTGTCGACCCTTCAGGCCTCCGGCCTCGTCTTCAACTCGATATGCGCCACCCTGATACTCAACGAGCCCTTCACGCGCTGGTCTCTTTGGGGCACCATGCTCGTCTGCGCTGGTGCCGTGCTCATCGCCGTCTTTGGAGCCATCCCCTCTCCTGCGCACAACCTCCAGGAGTTGCTTGGCCTGCTCGGCCGCCGATCCTTCGTAATATGGATGATCATGCAGGCTTTGCTTGTCCTCTCCATCGCCATCACCATCGACTGCCTCGACGCCTTCACGAGCCTCTCGACCAATTCGCGATTCCGCTTTGTGCGTGGCCTGTCGTATGGCTGTATAAGCGGCATCGTGTCCGCGCACTCTCTGCTGGTCGCCAAGTCCGCGGTCGAGCTCATCATTAAGACGATCGCTGACGGCGACAATCAGTTCATTCACTGGCAGGCCTGGGTGCTGGTTCTTGCGCTGGTCACCCTGGCCCTGAGCCAGCTCTACTACCTCCACCGCGGCCTGAAGCTTGTGTCGACGTCGGTCTTGTATCCAATGGTCTTTTGCATCTATAACATCATTGCCATTTTGGATGGTTTGATCTACTTCAACCAGACCGACCTTATCAGCCCCCTCCGCGGTGGACTCATTGCTCTAGGCACCGCCATCCTACTATCAGGCGTGCTGGCGCTATCATGGCGCCTTAGCGACGAACAACATACACCGGGAGTAGGCCAGTCTTCCCTGGCGCCCGGCCTGGGTCTCGTGGAGGACACCGAAGACGAGGAGGAGTCTCTCCTTGGCGGCGACGACTTGTACAGCCTCCACGAAGAGGACGACCCTCTGCCCGTCACATACTCAACATTTAACGTAGCGAGCGGGGAGACAACCCCACTTACACCCAGTCGCCCAAAGAAGGGCAGGAGATGGCAAGAACGTGCCGAGATCTGGGGCGAGCTCGAGGATCGCGATACGTCAAGCCCGCCCATCTCGCGCAGACGATCAAGCACGATGCCCGACATCACCGAGTCGACATCCCTTCTCGGCCACCGCCGCACAAGCGGCACCCAACCCCAAACATCCTCTTCAGCAGAGGCGGGCCCCAGTAGCGAGTCCCCTTCGCAGCGTCGACCCGCAGGCCGCAGGCGGCGCAAGTCGACCGGGTTCCCGGGCTTCACGGCTCGCCGCCGCCGCAAGAGCCAGAGCAGCCAACCGTCTCTGCAGGAGGCGCTTGGGGGTATCTGGAAACTCAAGTGGTGGCGGGGGTCCGGCGGAGGAGACGAGGGTGCACCGCCGAGCAGCAGCGGGAGCTGGCCCGCGTTCTTCCGCGACGAGGCAATGCCGGAGAGCAGTAGTAGCGCTCACGGGCCACGGAGGGGAAACGGAGGCGGTGGTGACGACCGGGCCCAACAGCATGATAGGGGGCGGGGCGGCGGCGGCGGCCGGACTAGTGATGATTCGCCTGTATGAGTATTGGAAAGCCACTTTGTCACGTCATTATTCACTTTATCCTTTTTTTACTTCCTTCATTTTCTTTTCTTCATGCTTCATGGGAAATATTGGCTGCCTCCTCCTATTTCTCCTCCTCGGCAGGTTGCCCCCTTTTTTCATCGCATGCCTCCCTCCGGCGTAATTCCCATGTGTACATTTTGGTGTGTGTGTGAGCGTGAGGCTGGCATGATGAGATTGGGTGACGGGTGGGCGTTTGTCCCTCAGTTGTTTCATCTAGAGTATATATACACGTGGGTTTCGGGGTATATCGTAGGATAGGATACCTGACCCACGTTCCGAGCTCCCTTGGCGAGACGGACTTTTCGACAGTATGATATTTATTGACCATTCTTTTCAAAAGAAGAAAGACACTGCAAAGTTATGGCGAGGAATCTTGTCTGTGAACTGTGAGATGCCATGATGTCGCAGTTGCCTGGCTTCCAAATTGGAGTATCTCATTCGATTCAAGCATATTAGTAATGTTTATCTCTGCACCAAAGACCCCGCGGGATCTCTGTTTCTTTCAGGATCTAAAAGACACATTCCTGTGGCTAATTCCGTTATTGCAATACTAGACGTCCTCCATTCAAGGTACTCGTAGGGAAATCAGGAAGGATATGCTGCCTGGCAGTACATGAGATAGTTCGCAGAAGATCAACATGGCATATCGCCTGCTGCTGGCACGCGGCAATCGGAGAGGAAGTCTCTGTCATGGATGAAGTGGTGTCGCAGCCAGGACTCCCTCCTCCCAAAGAGCTTGTAGTTCAGCCAGGCAAATCCCTCGGCAGAGACGACTCGGACGCAGCCTTCCATCCCCCCGCGCGACATTCCCAGTCCCGCTTGATCTTAGGCTCACTTCACTACCCATGACATTCAGCCGCTTGCTAGTAATACCCAAGGGATGTCTTCTCATCCTTCTCGTTGTCCAGGTTCTTACATACGATTGCTCAGGCTACAGCCTGTGAGTTGTTCTTGAATAAACCCAGCAAGGCAGATGAGCTCGCTTGGCCTCTTGGCTTCCTTGGCGCTTTTTCTCGCGTGAAAGCATGCTATCTGAATCTCGACCGTGGTCAAATTGGCGAGCTGGGCGAGGGCTTTGACGATGATATCTTGTCGCGTCAGACCGGCTATTGTGGCTCGGATCACTCGATGACAGGGTGCTTCTCGGCAGGGGAACTTCGCCGTTGACATACGGGAAATTCCAAACGTTTCGATCTTCATGGGTGGTCAACAAGCGGTTGGTTTCATTGAAGTTGGATATCCCACTCAGTCTGGCCATGGCGTTGTTGCGAGAAAAATATTGGGATTGATGTTGGGTGTCTATTTCAACATCCTTGATCGCAACGCAAGATTGCTAAGATCAAGCCCATCGGTCCTTCTCCATGAGGCCCTACAAATCAAGCACTGCGGAGATAGAAAGAAGGGAGATGCATACGAAGCCGGTCCATACGTCGAGGTCCCTTCTTCTGCCGACAGGTTTCGGTGGTTATAGTTCTGTGGAGGATGATTCGCCATCCATCCATTTTGATTGCTATAACTGAACACAGGGCAAACTTCTTTCTCGCAAATGACGAAGTTCGCTCTTAGCACGAGGGTGATCGAGGGGTGTTTCTGTGCACACAAATGTTCACTTAGAGATATAATGGTTGACAAAGTTGAATCTCAACTCGATTCAATTTTACTCCACGACAAATAATCGACGAATTTACAATCCAAAAGTGAGACCAAACATCGCCAGAACCCGAGAAAGTTCCAAGCCTTCACTACCTACATCAGACTCCTAGCGAAGTTCACAGCCCATCATCATTCTACGTGCGGCTCCCAATCTATCAATAACATAGTTCGCACTAGCAAAAAGACATGACAACGTCTCGCAGAAAGTGTATGTGACGGCATGCCAAAGTACGGTAAGTTCGGCACAAAGAGACCATCGTGCTGACTCGTTAGCATCGGCCGTGTTGACGGTGACACGGAAGGGCTGAAGTCATCGGGGGTTCGTGCGTATACGTGCATATATTTCGGATGGTGGTGGGTTGCACTCTCTTCGGACATATGTGGCGGCTACGGGCATGTGGGAGGAAGGAGGCGGACCACAGTCGGTGGCGCCGCAGACATAGCGGGTTGAAGGTTACGTCGTTTTTCCTATCTTTGACGACTGGCTATTCTGAGGTAATGGAGATAATTGATATGTTTAACATGTGTCTGGTCGAGAGAAGCAACGCGATTCCGTCATTATGAAGAAGAGTATGCGTAGAGGAGCCCTGTCGACAGCCCCTTAATGCCGATGGAAAAAAATACAACCACCTCGACGGAGGACGGCAGCCAGCCAACTTTGCAGACCACAATAACTCATCAAAATACAACGTCCCTCTTCTTCCACATCATCCTCGAGATCGTCATCCAATCTACCCGAACCATTCATCTCGTCAATCTCCCGTCTTCGTTGTTTATGCGGGGGGTGGAGGTGGCCCAGATCGTTTATATCTCACGCACCGACGACAGGGCCCTCCGCCCGCTTCCATTGGCCAGGCTCCTCATCGCGAACCCGCCTAGGTTTACTTGGCACGTCTACCCCAGACGCCGTTCGTTCTATTTCGAGCGCCTATCAGTTTACATCTTGCCAACGACCTCTTGGACTTTGGTCTTGATTCGTTTATCTGGGCCTTTGGGGGCCTGTGGAAATAGATTGGGGGTTTCTTGGCTCTCTTAGCTGTTCACGTCAACGTCGTCGCAGGTAAACATGCTGTAGAGTGACCCAAATGGATCGGAGATTGTGTATATATGCACTCTTCTCCCCTGCGAGGGTTCTGTGTAAAGACCTCCTGAACACACTCGACTCTGACCGAGTCGCTCACGACTCAAATTGCATCGAATCACACACATATTCACATCACGGCGCATGGGAACGCAATGTATAGAAACAGGATTGACTTCCAGGGCAAGTTCCCCCCTTCTTACAGAACAGAGATAATCAACACTAAAAATCTATATATGATGTCCACACAAAAAAAGGGTTCTGAGAGAGGTAGGTTTGGAGAGAGGAAGAGACAAGTGGCCGTCACACAAAACAGACTTTCGCTCGAATATCTCCGTCCAGGTTTCGTTCCATAACGTCAAGAGTCGTAGCCGTGTCCCTCGGATTAGGGACTGGCTCAGAGGATGCCAAAAAGGGGGGAGAAGGTTTGATTTCTTTTTGCCTGACCACGTTGTCTAAGAAGGCGGGTTGAACATTAAGACCAATCAATGGCCGCGGGCACGGAGCGGTAAGGCGATTTCAATCTTCCCCATCCGAAAAAGACAGAAAAAAAGGGGGTCGCGTTTGTGCTCTGCTTCCAAGTTTCCACAGCAAAAAAGTCGTCCAAGGAGAGACAAGAAATTCGGTTCCTATTCATTTGGCCTGCGGCTGTGCCCCAAAGGCAGAAGAAGGGGGACCCATGGAAGGCGCCCCTTAGAATCCACGGTAGCCTGCCTTCTCATCGATGTGGCGATAGCGCTCGCGCTCCTTACGGTCCTTGAGGAGCATGGCGGTGCAGACGACGAGGAGGGCGTCGATGCCGACCATACCGAATACGGCGGTGAAAATGTTGTCGACGAAGACGTTGGCGAAACTCGTGATCGGGGCGGCGCAGCCCTTCTGGAGTGCAGCGGCGGCAGGGCTAGGGCACTGAACATCGGTGACGAAGGCAGGAGACGTGCTGTTGAAGTATCCGCAGCATTGGAACTAGCCGGTGTTAGTCCGCATTCTTTTGCTATACAGTCGCCGAGGGCACTTACAGCAGTCTGCATGAGTTCTTGAACGCTAGGGTCGGCGGCAATCCAGAGCTTGCCAAAGTCGGCCTTGGTGGTGAGAGTCGTGACCCAAAGGTAGGTTCCGAGGACCAGACTGAAGAGGCCGCAGAAGGTGACGAGATAGCCCGAGAGCTTGAGCCATCCACGGGCGGGAGTGATCATACCCGGGATGGTCATGAGGAAGGTGACGAAGATGAAGACGGCGTTGACGACACCAGCTGCTTATTGTTAGTGCTTCATGTTCCCACGATAACCCCATCGCCGAAGCATCGCATTGGCGCCCGAGTACGTACCGGTCAGAGGGAATTGCTTCGTGAGCAACTTGGTGGCGGCCTCGACGCCCTCTTTCGGTGCTTCGTTCACGGTGTTTTGGTTGATGAGGGAGTAACCGAGGAGAATGGCTCCGGTGATGACGAAGACTGCGTCGGCGGCCACGTAGGCCAGCAGCACCTTGTTCGCCATGGCGGTTTGCTGTCGTGATAATGAGCAGCCACGAGACCCGAGAGAGAGTTGTCGCCCGGAGAGACTTGGCTGCCCCTCAACCGTTCCAGATAATCCTCCTCTTAGATTGTCCTCCTCTTTCGAATAGATTTAAGATTTTTCGAGGTTTTTTTGGTTGACGACCGGCGTCTTTGTTTACGGACTCAAAAATCGTATGCGGGTTCGTCGGGGTCGGTGTCGTGGGTAAGGACTGTCTTCGACCAGCAAAAATACACGGAACCTCCACGACCCAGCGGGGGACGATCGCAACGGTAAAATAAAAAGGTATAGAAAGAGAGAAGGTGACGAACCGAAGGTATCGCCAAAGAAGTGAATAAGGTCGGATTGAACGATTGTACAAGAAGATGAGTATGGCCAAAGGTCGCTCTCCAAAGGGAACCCGGCTTCGCGTAGGACTGGGAGGAGAAGAAGGGGAGCGAAGGAGTAGAGGCGCAACTGGAAGTCTGAGGAGGTGGAACGGGAGAGCGGCCGGTATCCACAGTGCTGTCTCGGACGAGACTGAGACCTGAGAGACTTGAGCTGGCCAGGGAGACCCCAGAGGAGAATCGCCAGATTCTTGGTGGCAGGAGAGGGGCCCGTATCGAGAAGGGAAGTCAAGAGAGTGGACGAGAGCCAGTGAGAGGACGACCAGGGGTGGGCGGCTCTTGGGTTGTCTTGGTGGTGGTCTTGGTCAATGGTGGCAGCGTCCGGTGGGTTACGTATTGGGGCACGGCGGCAGGGACCCCTCTCGACTTTTCGGTGGCTCGAACAGCAGATGGGAGAATGAGAAACGCACCAGAAACAGCTGGGGACCAGCCCACCGGTGTCACACTGTGTCTAGCGCACTGGAAAAGGGGAAGAAAGGGAGGAAAGGATAGTGCGAAAAGAGACTGCCAGAGGGGCAGGACGGACTGTGGACGAGGAAAGGGAGGTCGTGATGATTCGAATTCCCTGACGAGACGTGTTTCAGGGCCGAGGGGCGCCCTCATGCAGGCGGTACAGGCACGCGCCAGTGCAAGAGCCGTGCAGCCACCGATCCGGGGCTTATGGCCAATCATGACGCTCGAAATGTCCAAGAGTCGCCTGATTGGGGTGGTCGTCCGTTTGGCCCCGTTGCTTAGGGCTGCTGCTGGCTGGCTTGGGCCTGCCGCAAGGAATCCGCTGACCTAAGGCCATGAAAGTCACTTTTCTATGCAAATCAGCACAAACGATACATCCTCCCGATCCCAAGCGCTGCCTTATGTAAGGTCTCCTGCCCACTTCGCGTGGTAAAGCATGGCTGATGCCTGCTACACCGGGGCTTACTTCAGCGGGAGCGACGATTACAAGGGAACCAAACGCGAACTGCACTGCTGAGTCTGAACGGACGACGGACTTACATCATCGTCTCTGGAGCAAAAGAGAAACAGGAGACGACCAGCCAGCAGAGCCTCCCTCTTCTCTCTTCGAAGCCGTGGACCCTTAGCACGTCGAATATGCGCTGCACGGCATTACGGCACTTGCAGAGGAGCCGTACGCGACATCAGCCAGCGAGACATGTCGCAACCGCTCGCCAAAATACCACTCTACACGCGCGTCCATTCTCCCTCCCTCCCGTTCATCGGTCAATTTTTTCCCCTTCACATTTCACAAAACTACGGCTTCCTCCGAGCTCTAGCGCCCGGTGCCTCTCTCTCTCTCGTACGAATGACCCCGGAGCAACTCTACGGATTGAGGCGAGGTTGTTAATTGATTTGCCCCTCATGGCATCATCTCGCCCAACCATGTCGCTGTTCTTCAGCGGCGGTGGCACGACATTACCGCCCGCCTACGTCCAATTTCCATACTCTTGGCTCCCCTGGCGAACCATGCTTAAAATGCTGGATACTTGCTGCAGGCCGTCTCCACTACCTTACTCTGATCAAGGTGTGTGCCGGAGATGGGCGACTAAAAAAGGCGCTGTGGGCTGCGGTTGCGGTGGTGCTCGGGAGCGACGCCAGGGATCAGGGCCGTTAGTGCCATCTCGGGCCCTCTTCTCTTTTTCTGCTGTCTCTCTTCATTTCGTCCGTCCGCTGCCCCGACTGCGCCGCTGAAGGTCCAGAGCCTCAACATGAGGAATGTGATTTTCATACACGAATTGCTTCCAGGTTTGTTTGGACGCCCAGACCTGTCATTCTCGCTTCTCGCTTCTGCTCCTTGCATCTCATCGCGTTGTCGTCTCCTCGCAGCCACAGGAAACCCTCCAAGTGGGCATTAAATGCACAGCCGTTGACGCGCCTGAAGGCCCTGCATCATGTTTCGCCCAACTTGCGCTCCCGTTCCCGTTCCGTTGCGTGTGTCGATTCATGGGATCATGAGAAACGAGAGCGCGAGCCTCGGGAAACACCCAACTCCACCGGCAACTCAATGCCGTGCGCGCATAGGGCTACATTGCATCTTGCGGCTCGTCTTCTTCGACTCTTGGTCTGTGACTGTTCCCACGTCTGACAATTTCATGGTTCGCTACCAAGATCGACTGCTGATTGCTGAGGGGCAATTCGTTTCGATGTGCACTTGTTTTCCTGGAGCTGCACAATCGCACGTTGTCTGCTCAGTCCTCACAAACAAGACCAGGCTGACTCGATGAAACAGCGAGGTGTGATTTCATTCACATATCCGGGAGAAACTATTAAGGAGTTGTACTTGCTTTCAGTCGAAATTTTCATCGTACGCTAAAATGGACGAGACGTTCCTCTCGACCGTTAAGTCACTAAAAAAGCCATCCAACGGCGTCGGTCTGACGCTCACCGCCACATCTGCACAACACGCAAAAAGGAATGGGCCCTAACCAGGGATCGAACCTGGGACCTCTCCCAGATCGAATCGTCGAATTGACAACCCTAAGGGAGAATCATACCGCTAGACCATCAGGGCTGATTTAATTCAAGCAAGCTCGTTGCTAGTTGAGGACGGCCGGCCGAAAATTCACTCATGTCGGGCGCGTGTGGTGTGGTGAGGTGGATTCGCACGACTAAGGGCAACGGAGACGCGACAGGGATGGCCCCGAAGGACGGAATATCGGAACGGCCTGAGACAACTGCAACGGCTCCAATGGAGTGAGCAACCCGCTTCTGCCCGTTCACTACCCTGCGCCACGTTCTGGCATGTCGGAGAATTGTCGATCAACTCGGTCTACTATCGAACTTCATGGCCGCGTTCACTTCCCTGCCCTAGCAGCTCCTATCTATCGGCAACTGCGCCCCCAACAACTGCGCGTCCACGCTAGCAGTATGGCAGTGAAGTATCAGAGCAGCTCCCAGGGATGAACTTCTGGCCCGCCTTCGGCCGGTCGGCTTCGAAAAGCTGCGCCGAAGGGTCTAGGACTCGGTCGGTGATGTGGACAGTACCCTAGTTTTATTCGTTGGTCAGTCATGCCGCGCGAAGTGGCAGCAGCGCGTACCTTGGTGACCCTCAAGTCCCCCTCTGTGACTGTCGCTACGTCGTTCAGCCACAGCGTGCCGTCTTTGATCTGCGTCCCGATGTACAGATACGACCCGGCCTGTATCCGCGACGCTGTCTCGTTGAAGACGCTGATGTTGAGCTGCGTGTTGGGGATGTAGTGGTGCTGTATGAGGTTGCCGAGCCACCATTTGCCCTTGGGTGTCGGTGTGAAAGTGTTGAAGTACTGGCCCGTGTGCTTTGCAAAGGCCTCGTTGGAAGGGGCGAAGAAGGTGAAGTCCCATGCGGGGGTTGTGTCGAATGCCTCAAGGAAACCTGCCGTTCATTAGCTTCATTCCCTGAGTGGCCGCGATGTGCTCTCAGAGGTTTTGTTACCTGCTGATCCATTCAGGACTTTGGCCAATTCGGTCAAGTCGCTTCTGGACTTGACGAAGTCCAACAGTGTAGTCACATCGTCAGCTTTCGCGGGGACGTACGTGCCGTCTGGCTTCGGGGCATACGACAGCGGCCGTCTACCAGAAGAGCCCGCAGCACAGACAACTCCGAAGATGATAAAGCCCAAGACCGTAGATAATTTCATGACGAGATTTCTTGAGTGATAAGCTTCCCGTCTCGGCGTGAAGGTTGGGCGGGGACTCCTAAGTATGGTTTCGCATTCTTGTAATCCTCCATCAAGAAGAGAAGGTTGAAGCACACAAAAACCGGAGCACAGTCTCCCGGGCCGGCGCGGAGCCCGGCAATCATCCCGGAGTTGCGGGGTACAGCTTTACCCCGACGTCCCCCGCAGATCATCGGCGAATCGGGACAACCCGCATCGGAGGATTCATCGGACGATTCTGGGGAGTGACGAGTTTGCTATGTGCTATATTTCTTGATAGTTGTGGCTGCATGCTGATTGATATATGAATGTGAGTATCAAGATGAGCTGGCGCACACTGGACGTTGGGTCCGTCCAATCTTGGCCCTATCGCCGGCATCATGATGTTCTTGCTCTGCCTTCTGGTCACAGCTGCTGCTCCGACCCTGGGAGCTCCTGGAGGCATGGCTTCCCGGCCGCAGATGGGTAAGCCTATAGCGCAACACGCGAGCAGCGTGGTAAACTGATGTTGCAACAGGATGGAACTCCTGGAATACATTCAAGGCAAACATCAACCAGTCCATCATCGAAACCACAGCCAAAGCTCTGGTTGACACGGGGCTTGCAGCAGCAGGCTACAAGTACCTGATCATGGACGAGGGCTGGCAAGCCGACGAACGTGCTACGGACGGGCGCCAAGAGTTCAACTCCACGCGTTTCCCCTCGGGAGGCTCAGCTCTCGTCAGCCACATTCACGACATGGGCCTCAAGGTCGGGATATACAGGTGCCTAAGGCCCTCTTTCTTCACATTCGGCAGCTCAACTGACATCTTGCCTCCACAGTGATTCCGGAATCTTCACTTGCGGCTTCGCTCCCGGAAGCTGGGGTTACGAGGACCTCGACGCCCAGACCTACGCGGACTGGGGCATCGACTACCTCAAGTACGACAACTGCGGCGGCTTCCACGCGGGCACGCACACGCAGCAGGAGCGCTTCCAGGCCATGTCCAACGCCCTCCGCAACACCGGCCGCGACATCTTCTACTCGCTGTGCCAATGGGGCCACCAGTTCCCGTGGTACTGGGCCGACCAGGTCGGCGCAGGGTCGTACCGCATGTCCGGGGACATCCACGCCTCCTTCGCGCAGGACAAGGCCGGCGTCTGCCCGACCGCGTACTGCCTGAATACGGGATATGCGGGGGTGAGCGTGCTGACGATGATCAGGAAGATGAGAGAGATCTCGCCGTTTCAGGAGAAGGGGCGGATGTCGTGGGCGGATATGGATATGCTTGAGGTTGGTGTTGGGAATGTCATGAGCGAGGTCGAGGAGCAGACGCACTTCTCGTTCTGGGCAGCGTTGAAGTCGCCGCTTATTATTGGTGCTGATGTGACCAAGATTCGAGAGCAGTCGTTGAAGGTTCTTCTGAACCGGGACATTATTGCCATATCTCAGGACCAGAGGGGCGAGGCGGTGAAGTATTTGCTGGAGTTGTCGACAGAGGGCAAGGTGCAAGTCTGGGCAGGGCCTGTCGACACTGGAGAGTATAGACACGTGGTGCTGGCGTTGAATTATGGGAACGATCTGGCAAATATCAATGTGCCGCTTGATGGCATCGGGCTGGGAAAAGGGTGTACTGATGGGGTGAAGGTGAGGGAGGTTTGGGCGGCGGAGGATGTGGAAGTTTTGGAGGGCAAGGTTTTGTTAAAGAACGTGGAGGTTGGGCAGACCAAGGTGCTCTTGATATCTTGTTGATATCAAAGGTTTGATCATTGGAGATCTCTGTCTTTTGCATCGATTACACTACTCGAATATCGTGTTACAGTTTTGTATGGACTCGTTTTGACATAGCTTTACTCTTAGGATGCCAGGCGTTGAGCCCGAAATGATGCGAAGTACGATGCAACAAATCCCCACAAAAGAAGCTGGTAAGAAGGTCTAGAAATACGCTTCAAATACAAGATCGAGATTAGTCAGTGATAGAGTCTACTGTTGACTATGAAATCGGTATGGTTATCTTCGCAGCTACCTATATTGTCTCGAATTGGAATCTGGGAAGAAACGCCCAATCACTTCCAAAGCAAGCAACGGGTTCAATGCTTCACGCTATCAGGAATGTAACCGTCACCTATGAAGAACACAGTACTGCTCTTTGGTTCTCTTTGGTTCTTTCTTTTCTCGCCACTTCATTTTTAATCCTTCCTAAAAAAGTAACCTGCACGTTCATCCATTCCAGTACATGCTTCCTCGAGAGCCTACCACATATCTAGCAACCACACCAGGAAACTCAATCGAGCACTATCCGCTTATTGTTCAAAGGTTTCCTGTCGCGTCTTAACGCGGGGGATCCGAATTGCGGAAAGATGATGCTAGATGGAATACGGTATGGCCTCCACCGACCGGAGCCGGGGCATATACCGGAGCATTCTCCGACGGCGCCGATGAACACACTACCATAGCACATCATCATCATTGACGATCTTTCTAATGGTCCGACGGCCCGAAATCTCTGCCGAGAACGAATCCGTGTTCTTGGCATGCTCTGCGGAGGGCAACAAGGCAAGTCACGCCTAAGGGAGTTCTTTCTCGTGACTAAGTCCGTTTGGGAGGAGCGCCTACTTGAAAGGCTTGCCCCAAACATGAGGGTCTTCTGAGGTTCCAAAAATTCTAACTTGGTCGAATCTTTGGTCCAAGATCTCTTGCACATTACGTGGCAGACTTGGCCCCCTTCAAGTTGTTATCCGAGACTATGGCGCCCGACACAGGCACAACTACTAGCGTCAAGAGAGGCTGTGCTGACTTTGACACGACGGCTAACGGTACTGCTTCGGTAAGATGAGAAAACCCGTCTCGAAAAAAAGGGAGTAGGACTTACACCACAGATCAGATACAGAAACGCAATAAGCTGTCCCACGAGCATGCAGACGAGACAAACGGTCTAACGACTCCCCCTCTATCAACGAACAGCAGCGAGATGCCCTTGTCGTGCATGCTCTTTTCTCCAAAAGCTGGCGCCAAAATATGGGGTGTTGCCCAGCAGAGCTTTTCCTCAGTAAGCGGATGCAACAGCCCTTCACAGGCTAGAAGTGGCAGCTGACAGCCCAAGCCCGCACCGCCAACTTTGTTTCCGGAGTACACCAAGCCAGGTGGCACGAAGTACGTTTACAGGGAGCTGAACTTCTGGACGTCGGGATTCTTCCCAGGATGTCTTTACCTCCTTCTAGAGCGACGACGGAAGCATACCCATCTGCTGAGGCACCTGGGACAGTCTGACGGACAAGAACCCCACCAGATGCACCTGGAGTAAGATTGCAATTCCTCAGAAAAAAGATTCCTCATCTGACCTAGACTACAGGTTCGCCTGTACATGGTGGACGGAAAACCTTCATCCCAACGCACATCTCGCGACGACCCATGACCTTGGTTTCATGATTTTCCCATGGGCTCGCCCGGCGTGGGAGCTGAACCATGACCGACGGGCGTTCGAGTCCGCCATCACGGCCGCGAAGTCTCTCTATAGTCGATACGACGACACTGTCGGATCGATTCGGTCCTGGGACGTCTGCGTTACCAAGAGATACAAGTTTCTGGATCCAAGCAAGGACTTTCTTGTCATCATTGTAAGGGATCCCCCGGCACATCTAGTCATCATCAGTAGTACTAATTGTCCCTCCAGGATAACATGATGAACCTCGACATGGTCTTCTGGGCTGCTACTCAGCTCGGAGACCAGGACATGTACAATGCAGCCGTCAAGCATGCCGAAACGACCCGGACCCATCACATCCGCGAAGATTTCTCGACATTCCACGTGGTAAATTTTGAACAGAAGACCGGTGTGCCGAAGGAGAAGATCACCAACCAAGGCTACTCCGACACGTCCTCCTGGTCGAGAGGCCAGGCGTGGGCCATTGCTGGCTTTGCGCAGACATACAGCTGGACTCGTGACGTCTCCTTCCTTGAGACCGCCATTTCTTGCGCGGAGTACTTCATCGCCCAGCTTCCGTCCACTTGGATCCCTCCGTGGGATTTCACGGCTCCGAAGGACGAGCCGCAGCCTCCGGATGTCAGTGCCGCGATGATCACTGCGTACGGCATGCTGTTGATCCACGAGGCCTTGACTTCTCTCGGAAGAGAGTCGGCGTACCTGAAGCATGCGATCAAGCTCATTCGAGCCGCATGTAGTACCCATATGAATGGTGGTGGCCGGTATCTGAAGTCGAAGAGGACGATCGACACCGTTGAGCATGGCACCGTGGAGGAAGAAATCGGCTGGGACGTGGACGGGGAAGGTGAGCCTGAGACAATCTTGAACGGCGCGACCATCAACAACTACGAATTCGCACCGAGAAGATGGGCAAACCACGGGCTGGTGTACGCCGACTACTTCTTCTTGCTGGCAGGGAACAAGCTTCTAGACATGGGGGTTCCAGACTTGTTCGAGGAGCGTGCTTGAGTATGCGAAGAAAGTGCAAAGATTCAATAGATTGTGATCATATGTATATACTTTCCATATGAGATTATACTACGTTGGGGGCAAACAAGTCTCCTCCTAGTGGTTGAAGGGTGTCGTTGCATCTTACTCCTTCTCCGCCGCCCCAGAAAACATGCTCACCCGTTGATTCGGCAGGAAAGAGTAGTCAAGGTAAGCATTGAGGTCCTCAAATTCTCCAACCATATTTGGTCCTTGACCGTTCGGAACCCCCATATCATAATGATCGTAGGCGCTCAGATGAGATTGCAGATTCGCTGGAACAGGCGATGGCATTGCTGTAGGCCCTCTGCTGGGGTTCTGAGCATGGAAAGCCAGAGGAAGTGGGGGGAAGGCCATGGAAATGCTGTCAGGAGACGCTTCTTGATCAAAATCCACAGCAGAGGCGCCGAATCCGTCCACGTACGCACCGCCAGGCCTCGGAGAGAAGCCGTTGTTGGGATGATCCGCCCCGGAACGGACGGCGCCGGGCGGCCCTAGACTGTTGCCGGACAGCGGAGAGGATGTTTCGTGCCTGTCATCCGAGTATACAGCCTGCCTGATGTCCAACATGCCATGGCCTTGTTGACGAGCTTGGACAAGCCTCCCTGCAAACTTCGAAGCCAGGTTCTCCGACGTGTCGCCAGGGCCATTCCACCTCTTTGCTATCGTCCGCAAGCTCCCCACCAGCGAATCAAAGCCACCTGGCAGCGTCACGCTGTAGTAGAGTGAATGCGCCAGGAACATGCGTCCGCAAATGAAAAGACAGAAAGCGAATTGAGGACTAACGACGTGCTGCGAGTCCTGGAGAAACTTCTCGGCTATGATCGCGACCTCTGTAGCAGCTGCGAGACATGTTTCTGAGCTAGAGGCGGATGGTAATCGGATGCGGGTGGATTGCCATTCGGGCAATGGGTAGGCAATGCCCTGGTGGAGGAGAACTACAGCGGTATTGTGCGTTACGTGAGCCAAGGACAGATTGGGGTCCATGATCCCATCGTTGTTGAGGACGCATGCTTCACGCCATTGTTCGGGCAGGAATATCTTCCATCTGCTGATGTCAGAAACACCACGTATTTTGGCGCATCGAACCAGACTTACTGCACTAGACGCAAGTCAAGCTGCTTGAACTTCATCAGCCAGACCTGTATCTCATGGGGCTTTGAGACATCGATCGCTTGCTGGAGGAAGAATGACGTGACCAGACTGAGGCTTTCGGTGGCCTCGATACAGTACGCAAACCCTCCCAGCGAGTCTTGGGCCGCTTCTTCAGGTCTCGCGGACGGGAGTGTTCCGGTGGCACCGCTTGACTGATCAGCAACACCGAAATACGGAGTCGGTGTCTGGAGCGGCTTGCCGGCCTCCCAGAGGGCACCTTCGCACGGAAGGCGTCTCTTGACATCTGCACTGGTCAAGGAGAAGTTCCATCCAGTCGCGATGCTGCAGAACCGGTCCATTAGGAAGATGTTCCAGAACACTCGCCGCCTCTCTTCTCTTTCACTCCAAAATCGACAGGGTTTCAGGAATTCCATTCTCTTGATGAGACGTTTCGAAGCCGGTGGCTGGTCTTCGTCTTCCACGCTGAGTTGCAGTTGTTCCACCGTTCTCGTCATGCTTCCAACGATTGACTACAACATCAGCTTTGTGACAAAAGAACTGGCAAATTGTCTTACCCATGCAGAGGGCCCTCGGCCGCTTCCAATCTGTCAAGCCGCTGTCAGATTGTGTGACATATTCAGGGTGAGCTGATGAACCAACAGTATCAAACGCAATTATCGTCAACGCCTGTAAATTTTCCACGGAGAAAGATTCCATGCTGTTCAAGATAACGAACTGCCGACATCGTTTTGCGTACCGAGTCTTTTCCTCGGGAGAACCAAGACGGGCATCCTGGGAGAATCTCGCGCAGAGGCTCACAATGGCATGGAATATCGTACTCAGTTGCGGTCTTTGTTCGGGATCCAGCATGCGCTCGCGAAATTGGCGGACATGCAGCATCGGGATCCAGGGGTGGATATTCGCAAAGTAAATTTCAACAAGATTGTCCACGAGGTCCGCCTCAGGGAGGAGAGAATCATCAAACACGGAGTCTAGCTTGGCGTTAGCGCGGATATTTTCTTTGGGCGCTGTCGTCTGTGTTTCCGGATTCTTGGGGCGCCAAGCTGCGAGAGTTGCCATCGCCGGCTCCCCACCTTCAGCAAGGGTTGCGAGAGTGTTCTTCAGCGAAGCAGCCGTTTCGTTGAGCGACGTGTTTGATGACTCCTCTTGGCTAGGACTGGTAGAGCTGTGATGAGTCGCAGTGCTCAAGGCATTGAAAACTTGCTGCCAAAGCACTCCTTGGCCTAGAAACATGTTCTCGAGAGTTGCTGTGAGACGTCAGTCACCAAGTCAAGGCTTTGACGATGGATCGGAAATGTTGATGGATGCTCACCGACTCGCTGACTGAGATTCTCCACTGCCCCAGTTCGAAGTCCTGGCTTGGACCTCCTGTCGTCGTACACGCATTCGACATCTGGGGTTTGATATCAGAATAATTGCTCCCATAGATCCTGGAGACAAGAACCAACTGTATCGCACGCAGGCAGAGCAGGGTTGTCGTCTGGAACAGCGCGCTTTCTTTTTCCGACATGATTGACAGCTGAGATTCTTCGTGAGCCAAATCACAAGCGTACCGGAGTTCGTTGCGCGAGAAATTCTTACGCTGGGCCTTCCGTATCGCAGCCATTCGTATTCGAGTTTGTACGTCTCTTCTTGGATCGCGGCTGACCATCTTCTTCACCGCCGGAGCGACCAGACATGGCCTCGTCATCGTCCTCAAACGCCATTGAGTTCAAGATTACGGAAATCGCAAAGCACTCGAGGCTGGCAAATGGAGTTTGTAGGAGTCAACATTTTGATAATAAAGACGTGATCGGGCGAGCTATCCAAGTTCAGAAAAGGGTGCCGTTCGATCCAAGCTTAGTTGGGGATCGAAACTCGAACGTGGGGAAGATGTGCGGGGAATGCAGGCCTGTCACAAATAACATGCCACACTGATGGGCCGCTGAGAGAAAGCCACAGCGGGTTGGACCCTTGCTACGCGTCCTGTGATTTCCGCTCATGCACTCGCTGTAGCTGTGCCGATAGCCTACATGATAGCTTCCTTGAGCGGACGAACAAAAGTCCACGTTGAATTCCGTATTAGAATTCTGACAACAGTCTTTATTCAAGAAGCAGAAGACTTGGCCAGAAACATGAGTAAATAGAAACCTGACTCTTTTGTACAGCTAGTCTGCCCTCTGCCAGGGGGTCAGTAGCAAGACACGGCATGTCCGGGACACGAGAGATTCTTCGACGTCTTGGGTCAATACCTCGGTTCAAGTGCTGCTTCATCAACCGCTCCAACCAGAAATCATCAACACATACCACCAGGCCATAAAGGTTTAGTATAGGAAAAGGTTCACCAGCCGAGGGGACAGCAAACAATTTAGCGGCAGCCAAGTTCCCCATTCTGAAAGCTCTGAAGCCTAGGTAGCAGGTCCAATGCAAGGCAACACCCGAACGACGATCCGCCCACCTTCCACCAACCCCCCGTCTCCGGGCACCGGGGTAGGTGCCGGAGACGTGCCCGAGCAGCCATTCCGCCCGCGTCCCACCCCCAGCATCGCCATCAGCTCACCTTTCTAGCGCGAGGAGCTTCTATGACTCCGCCGCTCCGGATTTGCAAGTTGGGGTCCCCAGAAAGTCTAGCATCGTCTGCATATAGGAGGCTCACGAACCAAGTCAAATCCGGGGTAAAAGGGGGCATGGAGACACACGACCCAGCCATTTTGATATCTAATCACTAAAGATTCACCGGATCCACAGAGCCCACTCACAAGACATCATGAAGCAAGACGCCTCGGCTCAGGGAGACAGCGCCATTACGCCTGTCTCTGAAGTTCCCGTCGAGCATCGGGAGGGAGACAAGGAGGTCAGCCTAGTGTATTCCGATGGACACCCTGACAACACCACTAACAACATTTTGCTAGACCCATGAATACGCCGGTATGACGGCAACCTATGTCGATGAGAAGAAAAGCAGAGAGTTGTTTTGGATCATCAACCGCCGCATTCTGGCCTGTATGCTGGGCACCTACTTCTGTCAATCTCTCGACAAGGGCACTCTTGGCTTTGCTTCTGTGATGAACATTAGACAAGATGCCGGTCTCACGCAAAATAACCAATTCAGGTGTGTCAATCCTGCTAGGAAAGCCAAAGTCAAGTGTTCTGACATTACCGCAGCTGGCTCGGCACCATCCTCTATATGGGCGTCTTGGTCGGAGAGTATCCGACCAACATGTTGCTGCAGAAGTTCCCGGTCGCCAAGTATCTCTCCGTCAACGTCTTCTGCTGGGGCGTGGTCATTGCCTGCTCTGCCGCCGCCAAGAACTTTGCTGGGCTGATGGTTGTTCGGTTTCTGCTCGGAGTCTTTGAAAGCTGTGTCCAACCTGCTTTCATTATCATGTCCGTGGCTCTTGACTCCTGAAACTTTTGTTGGATGTGCTAACATATATGGCAGGACTTCGATGTGGGTAAGTTACTAACCCATCAAACCCCTGAGCACCCAAATTCAGCTAATCTGATTCGCGTTTGAAAGTACACCAAGAGAGAACAGTCCATTCTCACCTCGCTTTGGTACTGCATGACTGGTGTTCAGTTGATGGTATGTATCATAATACCCTTACGGCTACTCGAGTTCAAGTTCCCCAGTATCTGGACATGATCGAGATATCCGTAGACAAACATGACGCCCTTTAGGATTCCGGAGTTAGCTAACACAACCACAGGTCGGTGGCCTCATCGCTTACGGCGCGTCGCACTACAACGGCCACGACATCAAGTCGTGGCAGCTCCTTTTCCTCGTCCTGGGCGCCGCAACCTGCGTCTGGGGCTTGTTCATCGGGTGGTGGCTCCCCGACTCGCCCATGGCCGCGAAGTGCTTCAACGAGGACCAGAAGCGTCTCATGATCGAGCGTGTCCGCGCCAACGAGACCGGCATCCAGAACAAGACGTACAAGCGCTACCAGATGGTAGAAGCCGTGACTGACCCTGTGGTCTGGTGCTACGTGTTGCTCCAGGTCACTTCGACCTTGATCATTGGCGGGCTGGGCGTCTTCTCCAACTTGATCATCTCCTCGTTCGGCTTCACGTATCTCCAAACACAACTTCTGAATATCGCCCAGGGAGCGGTCACGATCATCGTCATGCTTGGTAGCGCAACTCTGGCGACCTGGTCGAAACAGACTGCTTGGGTTATGCACGTAAGTCGGCGTCAACATACCATCTCCCCCATCATGACTTCTTGTACTGACACCGCTTCTCACAGGCTTGGACAATGTAAGTCCCAAATCTCTCCATTCAAGCAGAAAACTAACTCTCATCCAGCCCTGCGATCATTGGGACAGCGGTAATCTACAGCATCCCGCCCTCCGCGTCCAACCGCATCGGCCTCCTGATCGCCTTCTACTGCACCCAGTTCTACCTCGCCGAGGGCAACCTCATTTTCTCCCTCATCTCCCGCAACATCGCCGGCCAGACCAAGAAATCCACCACCCTGGCCATGACCTTCATCGGCTGGGCCGCGGGCAACATGACGGCGCCCCAGATCTTCCAGGACAGCGACGCGCCACGCTACCGCAAGGGCTTCACGGCCCATTTCTGCCTCTACGTCCTCTTCAACTTGTTTCTCGTTCTGATGCGGTTCCTGCTTGTCCGTCGAAACATGGCCAAGCGCACGGCTGCTGCTGCTGCTGCTGCAGACCCTTCGAGCATGGCCGGTGAGGAGATCTCCGAGGATGGCAAGGCTGGTGTCAAGGGGCATGGGAGCGAGGACGAGAAGATTGAGCATTCGAACGCTTTTGCGGACTTGACGGATAAGGAGAACCCCGATTTCAGGTATGACTTTTGAGGCGACATGTCTTCAGCATTGGCATGTAGGTGTCAACAAACAGAGAGAGCTGTAGGACGATGGTGAGTGTTTCCGGGGCAGCATGCATGAAGAAACAAAACTATGTGGTTCTTTCAATCATAACCCGCAGATGGACTGAAAGTAGAAGACAATCATTCAGTCTGCGAGGACTAGCAAGTTTACTTCTACGCAGAATCAACTTCCCGTCCCAACCACGAGCATATTCCCTCCACAAATGCTCAGTTGTATCAACCCTCGACAGTGCTCAAGTATGGGATCTATTGTCCATGCTTGGCTCCTGATCCTCAAATTGGTCTTCGTGGCCGTTTGAATCCCAATATTGGTAGTCGCCATGAGTGCCTTCGTAGGCAGCGAGCTGACCTTCTTTTGTCTTGCTCGACATTGAAGTAGGATTCTGTCTTTGAAATGCCCCTCGTCTATAAACACGGCATCGTTCGTCTTTGGATTGTCTCTCAGCTGCCTTTTGATGCTGTATTTTCTCGATTACCCCCGCCAAGGTTACCGTTGAGTTCTCGCCGATTACTTATCCTCGCCGCTGTCCTGCTCTCTGCTTTCCCTCTGTTTAACAACCTATCTTTCGGCATTTCACTCCAGCACCCTTCTTTGCTTCAGACTGCGCAATCTCATTGCTTACATACCATGCAAGGCGAGACAACCTCGGAAAGTCAGCAACAAATGGTCAAATATGCTTCAGCTGTCGCCAACCAACACTGAGCCTTGAATTATATCAACGAACACATGCAACCAAGCACAGCGCGAAGGTGACATTCGGCATGTGAAATAGACCGTAGCATATCACCTTCCCTAGAAGAAGACGCTTGCCCGATTCAAGATGATTTCGCGAAGATATCATGCACTTCGTTTCCCAAACGCCAGAGACCTGGGCCGTCTGGAGTTAAAAGACAATGCAAAGCCAACAAACAGAAACTTGATACAGTGACAGGAACCATCGTCATTACAGACCGAGAGATTTGGCAGCTGCCATGCCAATGCTGTCGTTTTTCAGCGCGACACCCTTATCAGCCGCCGAGGTTTCTCGGTCTCTTCCTCTACGAGAGGGCCGAGGCATGAACCTTGACGCAACATGCCAAACAGCCCACGGCAAATCACTAAAGAGAGTTCAGAACCAGAGACCTGGGACAACTCTGAGTTGCTTACTTTCCCAGTCAAACTCTAAGCAATGACACCGCTGTCAGAGGGAAATTTAGGCAGGCTCGGGCGGGAGCCAGGGAGGGGGGCTTCAGTGAGGAATGACGTTCTTGGGAGCGTGTGGTCTCTGCCTCTCCGCCGTCAACTCAATTTTCGGAGGCCTTGAGATGAGAGAAAGTCTAGGGCAATTGCTGGCTGTACGACCTCCTTCGGAAACGTCCACGAAAGAGGCAACCCTCTCGCAATTGTCACGAGCCAGCTGGCGAAGAATGCCCCAAAGAGGTTAAAGCCGTTTGCGCGCCGGCGCGCACTTGATGGACTGTCACATTGACCGGATGAAGACGGTTGAACACAGTCTGGAGGTTACGACACATGCTCGGACAAAGCTCTCGCTCAGGGACTCGGGCTGATACCGAAACCGAGACTCTAATCGGCATCATCTCTCTATGTTCCTAGCGATGCGCTGAAAACCTGGGGAATTCTGGCACGAGATGAGGTCAGATTTCGAGTTTGAACGTGAAGCGAGAGGCTCGCCACTGTGTGTAATTACATGCAAAGTGTTTAGAGGCATTCCGGCGAAGTGGCGACATGCGACAATCGCTATTTTGGAAGACGTTAGCCGCATGAAATGGGTCCGGGAGCAATAAACGTTTGTCAGCACCGTCGTCTTCGGAGATGCTTTTTACATCCGTCAAGAGCGGAAGAGGCAGCCGAGCCAAGGCTTAG